TATTAATATTTACAATGTGTATTTAATGTTTTTTTTTTTTGCAAAATACTCTTTCTAAGTGTGATATATAAATATTAAAAATACTTAAAACATTTTATAACATCTATAAAAGCATCTAAAATATTCTATATTATTCACAAATAATGTTTGAAGCTACCTAAATTTTTCTAAACTACCCGTAAGAAAAACATGTCTAAAAATTCTTCATTTAACCTCCATATACGTATATATATAGAAAGAGAGCAAATATGTAAAAAAAAATATACAAATAATATTTAAAAGTATCTAAAATATTAGTAATTAGACATGTGAAATTTAGATTTTCAAAAAATCTCAATAGATAATGGATTTATAGTAGTAGTTAGACTTTTATTTATTTATTTTTAAAGTTGTTACGATAGATGAGGGATGTGATTTTTTTTACTCGTGGGGATGGTATTTTGTAAGCTGGGTTATGAATTTTTTTTTAAACTCGTCCATATTTATGCAATGAGTTTTTTTGAACTGGGTATATAGATTTAAAATTGTAAAAAAAAAAAAAACTTTCATAAATCATTTGATTTGGTATTTTCGGAGAGCTTAATTAATTTAAAAGTGTAAGATAAATAAATAAAAAAAGCACAACTGAAAAAGTTACAACTGAAAAAGTTACAATCAATTGTATGAAGAATTAAACTAAATCCAATTTTGTATGATGCATTAAATATTGATTAGATTTTATATGAAATCAAATAAAAAATAACTGGAATAGTTTTGCGTGTTGCATACCAACATTTTAGGAACTACATGAATATTCCTAAATTAATATTGCATACCCAATATTTTAGTAACTAATTAAATGTTAATTTGATTTGCATGCCCAAAATATTAGATACATTAATTAAATACTTGATAAAATTAGAAATTCATTAATTAAGTTTGACTTTTCTAACTACTATATTTAGTAAATAGGATCCCTTTTAATATAAGTATATAGATATAGATATATTAATCCAGAACGTGCTGAGCCTACGTGGTTGTTTCTGGTGCTTCGGAATCTTATGTGACAAAATTACATGCTTCGTTATTAGACTTGAGTAAATTTTAATTTAATTCCAAACAAAAAATAATTAGGTTCGGATTACTATAAATATGTTGATTATTTATGGTCATGTTACATGCATTAATTGCATTTTAATATCATTTCTTATTATAAGTATTTTAAAAGTTAATAACTTTTGTATTTTTTATCAGTTTTACATATGTAATATTCAAATTCATCTTCTTTTGATGTGTTTCGATTTAACATACATATTGCATGTATAATAAAATAAATTTATATTTATCTTTATAACAATAATATAATTATTTATAATATTAATTAGAAAATAAAATTATTTATCAACTAATATATTCATATTTCAAGTAGTTATATGATATAAGTTATAAAAACTAATATAATATAACACATGTAAGTCATAAGTAACACATATCATTCTAAAATATATAGTAATATATTTTTTTGTAAAAAAGTAAACTATATTTAATATAATTTTCTCATTAATTTTAAAATTTAAGAATAATTTTTTAACAAGCATCCCGTGTAATACACGAGTTTTGTACTAGTAATGATATATTTTGAATAGGAGATTATCATTGTGATCACCACTACAGTAGTAGTGACAACCATTCATATATAATCTATATCTATATATATAACTGCCTTAATTTTTATTTTATTTTTTTATTTTTAATTTATTTTTTATAACTGCCTTAAAATTAAGAATGAGTCATTTCTTGATAATTTTGAAATCTACTCCCTAAAGATTTACCTTTTAAGGACATAAATGTAATATTATAGCTTCATTACTATTTCATCCAACTACATGTACATAAAATCTGAAATATGATAAAGTGAAGACAATTTTGATGACCGTAGAGATCTGGTGGACCCTCTACAATACCCCAAACTTAGAAATGATCCCGAACTTAGAAAAATGATGGGAAGGTTACTACTTTTGGGTGTCAAGAAGTAGAGGTTACTCAATTATTCAGTAATAGTTTTTTCTTTGAAAATAAATTTAAGAACAAAGGAGAAGCTAACTCTATGTGGTTGATTCTCGTGTATGCTAGCACAAACAAAAAAGTTAGGGAATTAGACCGTCTCCAACCGAGACGGAAAACCCAAAATTTGCAGTGAGAATTCCTCCAACCGAGCGGCAAATCCGATCGCAAAATACGATCTTCCTCTTCTCTCTCTTTGTTTGGACGCAATTTTGGGTCTGACGCAAAAATTTGCGTCTGAACTTTTTTTTTTTTTTCATTTTAGTCCCTTTTGTTTTTGTCTCTTTCATCTTCTTTATTTTTATTTCATTTTAGTCCCTTTATTTAATTTATTAGATAATATGATAATTACATTAATGAATATTATTTATATATTTATTTAAAATAATAATAATAATGTAAAATAATAATAAAATTAATTTCATAAGTATAATATTTAAAATAATAAATGTTATATTCATCATTTAATTTGCACTAATACAATGAAAAAAAGTAACAGTTTTTAAAATGTGAATATATGCGCTAGACCATATATGGTCTAGAGTGTAAATTTGCACTAAATCATATATTTTCAAAAGTAACAGTTTTGTTCAATCGGTACATAGATGTATATGTATCTTCTTCACTTTTGAAATGAAGATGTAGTTAAAATACAAATGTAGGACAAGAATTCACCAACTCCAAGACTTGAAAGACTATCTATTTGTACGTGATTGTTGTAATTTTCTATTTTATCTTGTGTGTTGTAATATTTAAATTTTCATTTTGCGTGTTGTAATTTCTAATTTTCATGTGTGTTGTAATTTTTAATTTTTCATCTTGTGAATTGTAATTTTTAATTTTATTTGTGTGGTGAAATTTTAATTTTTAATGAATATTTATTTCTCCGATTTTATTATGTATAATTAATTTTAATTACATAAAGTCCAAATTGAATTTAAAATAATAGTGCGGTTTAATTTGTAAAGTTGTAAAATATATGGATAGTATTGAAAAATTATAAAAGTTTTTGTTAAAGAGAATATTTTTGGAATATTCTTTTGAGTTTGAGAATGAGTTTTTCGGTTAGAGATAAATTACTGCAAAATGAGATAGTTACTGCAAAATGGATTTGAGTTTGAATTTTTCTGTTGGAGATGGCCGTAGAGCTACCAGAAGTTTTTTGGGGTTAGACAGGTCTAGGAATGGATGAGGTCAACATGTCAACCCATTAAAGTCGTAATTTAAATGTTTTAAATTAAGGGAAATTTTTATGTCTACTACATGATTTTAAATTAATTGTAATTTTACCATACAAGTAGAAATAATTATGTTTCTACCTAAAACACACTATTTATCTATATTAATGCCTAAAGTTCCCATATCCTTCCAACCCTTCTCCCCTTAATTCAGGTTATTTAATAAAATAGTCAGGTGGTATATATTAGATTTATGGTAGTATATATTAGTATATGTGAAAAACATGTGTTTCATCAAAAAAATATCTCTTTTTTTTTCTTTTTTTTTTCTTTTTACTTTACACATAAAAGTACATATATAGTTTATAAACCTATTATAACAAGTTACTTATATTTCATATAAAAAAATCTTGTAATATATTGAACATATACTCTCTTTACACACAAAATATACTGAACAAATTAAAAAATTCTTCTAATATACTGAACATATACTCCCTATGATTATAGTTTATAAACATATTATAATAAGTTACTTATATTTCCTATACAAAAAAAAAATAAAAAAAAATTGTAATATACTGAACATATACTCTCTGTACACACAAAATATACTGAACAGATTAAAAAAATCTTCTAATATACTTATAATATACCGAACATATACTCCCAGTTTTTTTTTCTTATTTCGTTAGATCTCACCATTTCACACCCTCAATACAATTTTTTTGCCTAATCCCAGTTTTCAATCGTCATTCTATCAGTTTGTAATAACATAATAATTTGCTCCCTCTAGTGAAATAGATTTTTAAGATCCAATTTCAAGCAACAATCCACCATCATCTACTTTCTCCCTTATCAACGGGCGTTTCACAGTCGCTCAATTCCCATCTGAAGACGAGCATCAAGAAGAAGACAAAGACGATGATGACTACGACGTCGTTTGGCACAACATCCAAATGACACGCGAGACCCTGCCGTGGTGAAGAAGATCCTAGAGCAGGAGCCGGAGATGTTGCCGTGCCACGCGTCGACCGACGGCTGTGGAGCAGGAGCCTTTTTTGTTTTATTTATTTGGAGGCTATGGTTTAATGGAGGAAAATGCAGAAAGAGAGAGAGTGGAGAAGGAGAGAGACTCAATGATGGGTGGGAAGTTACCATATAATTAGGAAATCAGTTTTTGGTAATTAATAGAGTCCCATAAATTCTTCTATTATGTAGTAAAAGTACCATAAAGATGAAAAGATATATTTAGGTACGTATGCAAATAAATTTAACAAATTTAGTTAATTTGTAAATATTTATATAAGGGATGTAATTATGTAATAAAGACAAATTAATTAAGTGGAGAGTGCAAAATGAGTTTGAGAATGAGTTTTTCGGTTAGAGATAAATTATTGCAAAATGAGATAGTTACTGCAAAATGGATTTGAGTTTGAATTTTTCTGTTGGAGATGGCCGTAGAGCTACCAGAAGTTTTTTGGGGTTAGACAGGTCTAGGAATGGATAAGGTCAACATGTCAACCCATTAAAGTCGTAATTTAAATGTTTTAAATTAAAACAACATCTCAAAAGAAACAGGAGTATAAAATATGAATACATTAAATAATAGTCCAACCGATTCAACAACTGATTGAACCAGTGAACCAGTTTGATGACGAGTTCGATTTTCACAACCTTGGAAATTACTCAAATTACTAATGATCACACCAAATGGAAAAATACAAAAAAAAAAAAATGAAAAATAAATAAATTCTATTACAAGAATCAAACACGAGATTAACAATAATCCTTCATTGTGCTCCAGGCTCCATCTGCAGCCCTCTGAAACACACGCGCCTTTCTTCCAGGAAAAGTTTCTTTCCAATCTGGGTGCGCGATCAAGTAGTCTGCAATCCTGAATAAAAATAATTATAGTTTATGTGTTCGTATGATTTTTATTTTTTAACATATGAATAGGCATATGTTAGAAAATTTATAAGGATCAATGTCAGTTACTTAAATATAGAGAAAACGATCATAACATGGACAAACGAGGACTTCGTCCAGGTTCTCGTGCAAAATAAAAAGAATAATGGATTCAGACAAAACCCAAGTTTTATGTACCTTCTTTCGTTATACACAAAATCGAGACCCTCCGCAGAACCCAAGTTTTATTTACCTTCTTTCGTTTTAATGGATTCAGACAAAACCCAAGTTTTATTTACCTTCTTTCGTTATACACGAAATCGGGACCCTCTGCAGAAGGAGAAGACGATCTCGTGAGTAGTATTTCTGTATCAGAAAGATTTTTTAGGGACAGCGCCGTTTCTTTTTGCCATATGGTCCTAGAAAGAACAATGTCGAAAGAGTTACAAAAATATCGGATTTCTAAGGCATTCATCAACCAATTAAAACCCCGTGAAATAATTTGGCACCAAGGAAAATAGGTGAGTGCATACACCAACCAAAGAAGCAAAAAGGTTTAAAACTACAAAATCACTGCTAGACCAGAGGAGCAGTATAGACTATTAAATCCAAAGGTCTTCGATTCAATACCAATCAAACACAAACAAATTAAGTAAAAAATCTTTACCAAGCGCATGGAGCAATGACAAAACGATCGGTTGTAGTGTCGTATGTATCAAGCAGTTTTCCAGCCCAACTGGGATCCTCAAAACATGAAGCTAGTCGTATTCTCCTCACAATTTCATCAGGGCATCTTGAAGTTCGATCAAAGCTGGCAGGGAAGATTGAGCCAGTGGCTGTTTCAACCTGGGGTGCGCAAACATGGCCTAAATTAATGAGTTTTTCATATTCAATTTTTCATAGTTCCAGAAATGATTTTAAAAAAAATAAAAATAAATGCAAAATACAATTAGAGTAAGATTGAAGCTGACCACAATTCCATGGAAAATGGGTTTTGCAATCCCTTCAGAATCCCATTTGGTGTTACGACCAAGAACATGGAGAATTTGGATTTGAAACTTCTCACTCCTTTTTCTCAGGGTTTCGATGATCTTCACACACAATGGCCGCGAATATCCTTCCATTTTTGTTTTAGTTTTCATAGCAGGATATGGTTTCTTCACGATTGACCACGAAAATTAAAACGATCCCAAAGAATCTCAAGTAAAACAAATGAAAAGTAAATGGAGGAGGTCCATACCAGAGACAAGCTATCATCAAACCCACCCATCAGATGTACCTGAAAACCATGAATTCTTAAAGTCACACTGATAAGTTGAACAAAAATTTCCAAATTGGACTTCATAATTAGCAAGAGAAAAAAAAAAAAATATATCATACTTCTAATAGATTATCACAATCTTGATCGGCAACCGACAATAGCATCTGACTAAGGCCCATATCAACAATTTCGGGAAAATCCATATGAGCGACAGATATCCTAAAACGAAATCAAACTCACAGTCATGATAAAAGTTTTTTTTTTTTATTTTTTTTTTTTATCTGGAAACACAACTTTCAGAATGTTTTTGCTGTGTCATAACTTACATTCCACTTTTGCGGTTTCTTATGGCAACGCAAACACAAGTAGTTGCCTCGTCAGTGCCAGCAAGCTAGATACAAGTGAATGTTTTGCAATCAGAAATGTGAGAGTTTCAAAAGCAAACAGAAAATATAATAAAACATACATCCACTAACTTTGGGTCAACTGTTGCAAACTCCCTTTGAAAGAGATAAACCCATCTACTATTTCTCGAATCAGAAAACGACAACTTCTTCTCTGTCATTGATTCAAACGCGTTTGAGGCAGACACCAGGACTGGATGCTCCATCAATGCCATCAAAATGTCTGTGCCCTGTATATGATTGAAAAATGATGGATTTTAAGTAGCCACAGCCGGACATAAGAAAACAACTTAGAATGCAGGTACCTAACCAGCAAAATCTACAAAAATTCGGCCTTTTGCGGCCAACAAAATCCGTTAAAAAACACGAATACTTATTACATGATTATGCTGCGAGGCCCCTTATACAAAGGTTAGCTGGCATCACAACCATCACAAGTTGTTCATTCAGCCCAAGACAAGACCAAAAGAGATGGATGTTTGGATGAAAAATACTTTCATTAAATCCCAAACCCATCTACAATACTCAACTAAATTGCAGTAATTACATGTAAAACCATTGAGAATGAATTTCTTATGGCTTCTTCATCTTCTACAACAACAACATACCCAGAGTATATTCCCAACCGGTTGGGGTCTGGGGTCAGTTGTACGCAGACCTTACCCTTGTAATCATACAAGTGCGGCTTCTTCATCTTCTAAGATGAGAAAATAAACAAATGGGAAGTGAGCAAACTAGAAATGTAGAACGAGTTGAATACCTGGGAAGAGTTGGCAGGAGCAAATGGAACTCCATCCACATAAATCATGGCGTTTCGTAAGATCAATTTAGGGTTTGAGATTTGGGAGAAACTGGGATTTGGGTTTCCCAGGAAGAGATTCAATAATGGAAGGACTTTACTTTGGGGGGGTTGGAGATGTATTAGATTTATTAATTGGTTGCTTTTGAGTAAAAGTTCATTCACTAAATGATGGAGTATAATTTTAAATTATATTTAAAATATAATGGTTTTTTTTTACGAAACGATAAGATATTATTACTAAAGGCGAACCAAGTTCGAATACAGCTCTAAACCAAACAAAAAAAATAGAAGGACACGCATTAAGTGGCCTAGAACCTCAACCAAACAACAAGGACCCTACAAAGAAAACATAACTCTACTGCTCAAGGGCCTAGAGAAGAAACCAACAAGAAAAAGGAACCAAACAAAAGAAACAAGACAAAAGCAACAAGCAATGCTGGAAAAAAAGCTACAGCAAGCCAACTACAAATCCAAAAAAGCCATCAAATCCTGATGAGCCATCTGCAAGGTAACTGTAATTGGCATTTGATCACCTTGAAATATGCAGAGGTTACGAGACTTCCAGAGCCACCAGAGAATGTAAGTTGTTAGTTGGATACGAGTCTCTGATGTCTCTGATGAATCAAGCTTACAAATATCATTCCACCAGCTTCTGAAAGGAAGAGACTGACTAGGCAGATTACACCAAGATACTTGAGAAATTTTCCACAACCTAGCAGCTCTTGAACATGTGAATAAAACATGAATTATGGACTCTGATTCTTCACCACAAAAATTGCAGATAGGTTCCATTTTCATACCTTTCTTGATGAGATTAACTTTAACTGGCAGAGTTTCAGAGATGCACTTCCAGATAAAAAACTTAACTTTACTCACCACTTTAAGTTTCCACAGCCTCTGCTTAATTTTTAGCATAGTATGTCCAACTTTTGAGCTACAACCAGGCAAATCCATTGCAAGCAACTTTTGAGCAGATAAGTAAGAATATGTGTTGGCTACTGTGAATACCCCCTTCTTATTAAACAACCAGTGGCTTTTGGATGGCTTCTTCCTCCTATTTTTTTAAAAATGTCATTCTAGCCTTTTTTCAATTATTTGTCAAATAAATGTCGTTCTGGATCTTTTGTACATATTTTTCCATTATTACCTTCATTTAGCCAATAAAAACATTATGTCTTTTCATATTTGTTTTTCACTTTTTCTCAAAACATTCATCTATATCTTCATTAAATAAGGTTATTATTGACAAAAAAATATTTTTAATTAGTGTGCAACTTCTCAAAACGGCATATATTAAAAATAGGAGGTAGTATATTGTAAACTAAAAGAGATGTTATTGAAAATTATAAATAATTAATAATATGTGAGTGGATAAATAATAAATTGTACTACCTCTTATTTTTAATGTATGTCGTTTTGAAAAGTTGCACAATAACTAAGAATATTTTTTTTTGGCCACTAATAACCTTATTTTATTAAGACAAAGATAAATGTTTGCAATAAGTATGAAGAGTGAATATGAAAAGACGTAACGTATTTATTAGCTAAACGAGGGTAATAATGGAAAAATATGTACAAAAGATCCAAAACGACATTTATTTGTTTAATAGTTGATAAAGTCAAAATGACATTTAGCAGAAATAGAAGGGAGTGGATGATTTGATGTGTGATAATGTATGATTTGTATTGTACGTTGAGTGGATGAATAATAAGTTGAAGTTGATTTGATGTGTGATAATGGCTGATTTATATTTTTTAGTTATATTGATCATATTTTGAAAAGTAGAAATTGATTAAAATTGAGTTGAATTTTGTATTGAAAAATATAAAAAAATTATTCAGGTCAAAATTAGTTTTAATATGGGTATGTTTGGTAAAACCACCTTATATGCTAGTTGATAGCTAATAAATTAGTTTATAGCTTATAAATGAATTTCTAGCTTGTAGTTGATATTTTATTACTTATGGCAAAAGTTTAGTAAAATTAGCTATAAGCCAGCTAAAATAGAAATTTTAACGTACTTATTTAAAAAACTACCTAAATAAGCTTACGAGATAAACTCATTTTTTAAAAAAAAAATCTCATCCTACCAAATCAAACGTATTTGTATACAGGAAACATAAGCAAACCAAATAAGTTATAAACTAGTTTATGGTGCTTACCAAACACACCTTATGTAGTCAATCACCCCTAGGATTGGGCAAAATATTCAAACCAAACCGTTGAATCGTAGATCCGAATCGAAATCGAACCAAAATTTTGGTTAACCGGGGTACTCGGTTCGGTTACAAATACCTCAAAGGAAGTATTTGCTTGGTTCGGTTCAGTTACGGTTTTTAGGATTTTTTTATCCCGGTTAACCGAACCGAACCGAACCATATATTATATTAAAATTTATAAAATATATATTATTTTATATATTATATATTATATTTATATATATTAAACTAACTTGTTGGTATGGCTATTCGCGAATTAACCGAACCGAACCAAACAGAACCGAGCAAACCTAACACAGATTTGTGTTAGGTTTGCTCGGTTCGGTTAATTCGCGAATAATATGATTTTTTTCAGTTAACCGAAAATTCGATTAATCGAGATTTTTGGTTCGATTTCGGTTAGCAAGTTCGAATATTTGCTCGGTTCTGTTTGGTTAGCAAATACCTCAAAATACTCGAGTAGTGCCCAGCCCTAAGCAGGGCATGATGATATTGAGATTCTCTAAAAATGTCTACCATTATTACTTCAATCATTACCATCTTTTTCTTATAAAATGAATACATGATATGTACGATGCACGGGAATATATATATATATATATACATATATATACCATGAATAACAATTTAATACAACGATGTCTCTGCATAATGAACACTTCATACATAAATGCCATTGTATATTCTTTTCTTTCAATCTTTTCTTCTCCGCTCGCGTACACATCACACTTAACAACACGATTTCTCAAAATTTACCATACATTTGTGGCTTAATTTCAACGGAATTGGAGAATTACTTCTAGATCTGTTGCTCGGCGCGGAGTGACTTGAAACCTCACCGTAAGATTTGAAGTTTTGTCTTAGCATATATCTCTCCCTATATATTAATTCAAAACGTATTGAGTTTAGGTGGCAGATTCTCACGCTTCGAATGCTGACATGGCAAAAATCTATACTTCGTGATATTGTTTTTATATTTTTTTTGCTATGGAGTTAGGTTTGGTATTTGACATAATAACTTTACACATATAATCATTAACTCAACACTCATGTTGTACATGGGTATTAATACTAGTATCCCTCTACATCTTAATAAACGTAGGTTGAGAGGCTTCATGGGGCGCCACGTGGCAAGCCTAAATTTTTTGGTGAAAACGTTGTTATTTTCGGGGTGCATGTGAAGAGTAGGAAGTTGGATAGATATGCTTAGCCTAAATAACCCTTGTTAGGCCCCACCTTTTGTAGTTATTTACTCTACATTTCATCTCCCGTTGATTTTTTCTCTAATATGATAAAATTTAAACAGAACTATAAATTCAAAATTTTAACTTATTTAACAAAATAAATAAATTTATTAGCATATAATGTGTCAAAAAAATATATAAAATAAAATTATTTAGAAAGAAAATAAATTATAGTGCATTAAAGAGTTCAATACTATATTAGCACAATAATATTTACATTATGATACGAAAATGTAACGTAAATTAGAGCATATTTATCGCACACTTTCAAAGTGAGTTGCATCGTAGAATAGAAATGTTATTGAAAACGATAAATAATTAATAACATGTGAGTTGAATAATAATAAATTGTAGTTGACCTTATGTGTGATAATGACTGATTTGTATGTATGTGAGTAGATTAGTAATAAATTGATTTGACGTGTGATAATGACTGATTTGTATTATTTATATTGATAATATTTTGAAAAGTAGAAAATTGAATTAAATTTTGAATTGAAAAATATAAAAAATTATTCAGGTCAAAATTAGTTTTAATATGAGTATGTTAAAACTACCTAATATGCTAGTTGATAGCTAATAAATTAGTTTATAACTTATAAATGAATTTTTAGTTTATAGTTGAATTTGATTGTTGTATCCTCCAATAATCAAGATCAGCTTCAAACCAAACAGAGCACAATTGTATACAGATGCAAATTACCGATTAGAATGAAGTTTATATAGCCTCACAATGCCTCCATTAAGCAGAGAATACATTTCAACTCTTCATAACAAAAGTCGGTAAATCAAAAATCTACATAAAACCATCAATGTCCGTAAAGGCGCCAATCCCTGTCTGAATTCAGGGCATGGAAAAAGCATACGTCAACATTGTTATGACGGCATTTTGTATATCACACACAACAAACTCAACCAAAAAAAAAAAAATAAAACAAATCATTGGTATTTTCAGGACAGGTCCTTTTTCGCAAAGGCTCTCGTCGTCCATTTTGGTCAATCTTAGAAACCTGCCCATCCAGCAGGTTGTGCCACGAAGTTACTCTCGGTGCTCTTTGATTCGCCACCAGCACCCTGAGAATTATTGAACTCGCCAGCAGTAGGGTCATTTATCTTAGAACTAGCAGCAGAGGCCACCTTAAAAGTGTCGGTGCCAAATCCCCAAGAATTGCCACCTTCAGCAACCTGATTTTTATTCTTCTCACCGTTTTTGGTTCTGACGGATCTTGGAGCAATATTTGACGGTGAGGTTTGTGCCTTGGGGTTATCAGTAAACGCCTGCCACTGCTTAGAATCCGGGCTTCGAGACCCTCTGTTAACGAAACCCTGTTGGAGATCCCATACAGTTTCTTCAATCTTCTCATTTTGCTTTAAATGTAGAAGAAAAACATTAGAGCAAGTTAGAGAAATTAAAATTGGGATAAATACAACTAGGGTTAAGCAGACATTGAAGTTTGAAAAAATCAATGTAATTTTCAGATTGACAATAATCACCAATATTTTGTTTTGCCTAAGATTTCCCCCTTCATAAACAAAAGACATTTATTACGCATAGAAAAATATTATAATTAACCCAACAATTTTAACATCAAATCAATCTCAAGGTTATAGTTTGGAACTACCCATTAGGTTTACCCTAATTCTCAAAGAAAAAAGTAGTAGTTTGTGAGACCAGCCTAACCATTAGGACGACATACTATTTTCACAAATATTCATATATTCATTGAGAATTGTCATTTTTTAATAAACAATATAAAAAGAATAATGACTTTTCATAGTATGCATATGAATTCTTGTTCACAGAGTATGACAGGTCGAGTAGCATATGGTTTGCCAGTCACAAAAATTTTTGAGGGAAAAAAGGTTCTAATCAAAATCCCTCAACAGTTTCTATTTCACAGATCGCATTGCACCAAAGAGACAAGAGAAGGAATATCAGTATTTGTTTCATTAGTGAAAACTAGTTAAAATTCAGGGCAATTGTCTGATATTTATGTCTGCAAGTACAAAGATGAAAGAACTCTAATTAGACAAAACAATACCGGTTGACCAGTGGATGGGTGGCTTCCAGGAGATGGCAGGTTTCTAGAAGAAGAATCCCTGTTCGGTGATGGATTTCTTGCAGCTAGAGCAAGCTTAAGGTCTTGTATCTCTTGTCTCTGTGACCTACAAATTGCCGAGAGCTTTTCATATTTGGAGGTTATTTCTGCCTTCTCCGCATTCACATGTGCAAGCTGCTCCTTCAGCTTTTCCACCTCGGCCTCTAACATTTCTTCCTTATCCGATTTCTGACGGTCGCCTCCAAGACTCTGTTCGGTAGTAGAATTGAACACAGAAATAAAAGCATTATAATCATCATTTTGTTGAACGGCTGGAGTGACCTCCGGTTTGGGCTCTTTTGATCTTTCGGAAACATTGTTAGAGTTGTTTGGAAACAGATTTAAGTCCTTAGTTGGGCCACCACTTAGCCTGCTGGCCGGCCTGCCTTGAGCATTCTTATGGGCATGAGATTGAAAATTCTGCTCCATTTGGGCGGGCATATGAGAAACTGTGTGCCCATCTGGACGGATCTTCTCATTTCCAGATAATTTATTTTTGTTTGTGTCCTCATCGTATTTTGGTTTGGCTTTCTCCTCCATGGTTTCTGAATTTTGTGCATGCTGAGTTGTCCAGAAAGCACCAAGAGGACCAAGGTTATCACTTGCTCTCGAATTATTTGAATTTGAAGACACGTTTTGGGGTGCTTCGGATGAGGGTGGAGGAGGGGGACTCCTACGAGGCATTGGACTAGGCTTGTTAGCAGGCTTTGGGGTGCCTGCAGGTAGCAAGCAATTATAAATCTAAAAGAAAGTGGACAGAAATTTAACATTAAGTGTAATTTTTTTTATTTTTTTTTTATCTGTTTATTTTCAATGTTAAGTAGCAGTGTCAAATGGACCGGTCTGGCCTGGTCCGGACAGGCCTAAAACGTTCCAGAGAGGACCAGGCTCCTTTTACATGTGCTGGCAGACCCTTGATCTGTGGCACGTCCTCTCTAGCCCGGGGTCTAGAAACATTCTTTTAGTTATCCACAATACATTACAGATTTCAACATGGGCAGCTTGAGGTTCTCTCAGGCACAGAGGAAAAGAAATCAATGTCCATCACAGAAACCCTCTTCCAACAAGTTTATAAACTTCCTTTCGAAACCACCATTACTACACGAGCGAGCCATCGTCTGACTAAAACAGCAAAATATCAGGAAAAAGTCCCTCTCGGAATAGAACTAGACACATCGAACGGGGGTCACCATGAGAGTCGGCCATAGATCTGGCCAGAACGGCCATGGATCCAGCCAGATTTCAGGCCAAGGAAAAAGAAAAAAAAAAAAAAGAAAAGGAAAAAACAATTTCTGCAGTCTTCTTCCATGATTGAGCAGCTTGACATGCAGCCAGCACTAGAAATATGCAACTTACATTTTAAACCCCGATAATAGAGGGCCAGACACTCCGTGTAGACTGTTAAACTGGCTGACCACGGACTATGTCTCATTTTGAAAGTACTATGATATTAGTACTTAAATTGCTAGTAGATGTATGAACATCTTCATTTGAATATTATTACATTCGAGAATAATTTCACAACCCTCACCTGCAGGCACATCAGTACCGTGTTGCTGCATTTCGGGAGGACTATCCGGCAATGATTTCTGCATCCCATCAGGCAAAAGATCATTAACACGAAACCACACCTGCAACAAAAGGAAACAGGTAAAACGAATCAATAAGCATATATAAATTAGCCCTCATGATTTCCATGGGCGCAAAAACTCTACAACTAACCTAAGTTCATAGGGATGAATGGCCAATCAAGCAAAACGCTTGCCTGCGTGATATCTGGTCTGTCTTCGGGGGACGACTGAAGCATATCTCGGATAAGGTCCGTCAGCAATTTATTGTATTTGGGTAAATCTGGAATTCGGTAGTTCCCATTTAGTATTTGGAGCTTTGATTCACCATCAAATGCAGACTTCAAGTAACATATGCGGAATAAGAGACACCCGAGCGCCTGTGCACAATATCAAATATTTACCAACTTCACATAATATATATACTAACAGAATATTCTGGTTGGTCCGGTCCAGATAATACATGAAGCGGTCAACTTACCCATATATCTACCTTCTCGTTTATAAGATCTCTTCGGAACAGATCCCACATCTAAGGCATTGAACAAGGGAGAAAGAATCAAAAGGTATACCATAAAAACTGTAACAACAAGATCCCGATAAAAAAAATAATAATAATAATAAATAAATAAATAAATCCACCATCTACCTCAGGGGCTCTATATGCAGGTGTCGTGTGTTTCCTTATGTTATCTTCCTCAATTCCCATTTCTTCAGGTCTCTCAAAGCGTTTATGGTTAGTAGAAGTGCTGCCAAAATCACATAACTTCCACAAGCCATCAGGCCCCAGTAAAAGATTCTCTGCCTTCAAATCCCTGCATAATCATAGAATATAAATCAAATTTTAATAAAAATTAACTCAAGACTTTACGGTAGAGAAACAACTATCAAAACACAGACACACATTATTGAACCAAACAAAAAAAGACCTTTTGACCATTTTTTCTTTGGTTGGGGGTGGGCAGAGCATCAGGGTAAGAATAGTCTTTTGCAGACAGACTAAAGCACAAGATATTATAATAGAGACTGAGAAAGTGGATTATTTACTCAAGGAAAGGGTAAGCTGGAATGGGATAAAATTAGTGATGCAATAATAGAAGCCCAAAATTCAAATCATGTGGGATTAGCTGGGGTCCTGGCCCTTTCGACATGAAAGGCTATCAAGTCGTTATTGGGCTTTTCTTTATATCTTATTACTTATATAGATAACATGCTTATAAAAAGGAGTGAGGAAGAAGATTAGGCACTGATAGATAACATTGTTTGTCGGCTCTTAGCTTGAGCGAGGAATCCCGATATTATTTCGCAAGAAGAGCCTCGTGTTCTTGTCTTTACTTTTTTGCCAAATAATATTTAGTTCTTTACATTGACCCTTCACTCCTAACAATTGGTCAGATCTGCTGTATAGATGACAAAGATGGAGTTGAAGCCATAGAGAAGGGTTAGTAAGAGCGCGCTAACTCATGTCAACGGTCAAGGAGCCCATCACCAAACTTAAGGAGTTGCTCAAGCACTTTTTACATCCAAGGGCAACCTTGAAGCCAACGACACCTCCTAGGTCAATCAAGACAACGGCTTGTCTAATGTGGATTCCACTTCCACAACCTCGGTTCTCTCAATGCCTAATCATCATTCCTCACTCTCTTTCGTAAGCTTGTTACTCATATAAGGTAATAAGATAATAAAGAGAAAGCACGATAACGATTTAATAGCCTTCCATTCCCAAAAGGCCAGGATCCCATCTAATCCCATTATTTGGGATCGCACCACTAATTCTATTCCTTGAGCTCTACCTTTCCTTGAGTAAATAATCCACTTTCTCAATCTCTGACATATTACAAAGATTTTATGACAACAAACTCCAGGCACAAACAACAGAAGCAATACCCAAAAATGTCTATAATCTATATATATGAATACATCAATAGCTACCAAGATAATGTTGCATTTCAATGAGCCATAAGTCTTTAATTCAGCCTGGAAATATGTGAATGGAAACAAACAAAAGCATGCCATGTGACAATATAAATGACACCTATATGTGACACTAGCGACAATGGCAACAATCCTTACACTCAAAGAATACACATGAAATGCACTTACCTATGAGCAATAGGCGGTTTCTGGCAGTGCATTGCAAAGACAGCATTGCATACATCTCTAAAAATTGCTAGCACCTGCTTCTCCTCAAAGAACCCAGCTCCTCCTCTGGTATCCAGAACATTAACCAGGGACTTCTCACAATATTCCATGAGAAGGAGAGCCTCTTTAGTACGACCCATATCAAAGATAGCATGTGCATGCAGTGTGACAACATTAGGATGCCCTTTAAGAGATTTCATAACTGAAATCTCCTTCATCACTAGTTCTTGCGACTCTTCATCATTGCATATGATGTGCTTTAATGCATACTGCTTGGAACCATGTAAAGTGTCTCGAGCTAGGTAAACACATGAGAATCCACCCTCTGCAATGGAGTTTCGAACCTGAACTTTGAAATTGCCTATTTCAATAACACGTCCTTCCAGACCAGTTTGCTCTTTATGCGCGAACGGTTTGAATCTCCACATGCTTGGGGTGATTCTCCACAAAAATGAAAAACTGCAACTGTGATGAAAATTATACGAAAAGTCACATATGCAGTTATAGTTTACATGCCACTAAAAACAAAACCATGTGAACAGAAACTAAAGATTAGTTTCAATCAGTCTCATACTACCAAAAATTACAGCGTGCAATACTATCACATTCCAATTTACTCATGGATTAAGATATCTCCTTGGATTCATCAAGAAGAATGTCGAACAGTTCACGTAAAGAAAAATAAGAGTTTGAAACAGAAAAATGGTACAAAATTATTCCAGAAATTGAGTCTTCCACGTTAACAAAGTGAGATCTTACCAAACAGAACTAGACAAATATCATTGTTCCGGACATATTTAGACATGAACTCATGAACAATTGGGTATGGTGTATTATCCTCAGTTCTTCCAAAAGCATCTCTTAGAAACATTAACATCTTGCAAATGAAATGGTTAGAAGTATAGTGGAAAGTTTATAATCAATATCAACGTGATGGATCATCCATCAACTAAAAAAAATTGAAAATAGCAGGATACAGGCAAAGAGGACTGAACTTCCTTACGTGATCAGAACAAAAGAGAAAAACAAAGGTTGCACACTGAATTCAGGGATTCATGCATCCAAAAGTAAGTTCTCAAAAACTACGACGACTAGAAGGGAGAGTACTAAATCTAAAAGAACATGATAAACTAAGTTCAATCAGTTGGCTGCTGGACTGACGCAAAACTTCATCTAATGAGTATACTTTAAGAAAACAAATCTTTCCATTCTATCTACACCTTAGACAGGCGCATACTGACACTTATTAAGTATAATATATGACCTGCCTATCAGGTAGTTAACTATTAGATGAGGCAGCCACTCCATGATACAGAGAAACACTAGGAAAAAAGGCTTGAAGTTAAAATCATATCGCCTGAAAAAGTGGGTCCCTCCAGAAATATTAAATAGTAAGTAATCCACTATGGTAGTTTTAGTTTTTAGATGAAGTTGTCATTATGTCCAAGCTAAAATTGGTTATTACCAATCCTATATTTTGTCCAGAAAAGAGGACCTCAATAGCAAACACTGATCCCAACCAATCCTACTCACGCACACATGATATGAACATCTACGTTCATAAATGCGCAGATCTCGACATATATACATATCGGAAACATGATTTTCGGATCTGAGCAAAGATAAGTCCATATGAGCCCAATTAGATTCTCCCAAAAACACTCAACTTTTTTCATTCCTCTTACACAAGAAGAGAACGGGTGGAACTGAAATATGAAAACCTTCAAACGAACTCCACCAAATCTAACACGACCTGAGTGGCGGCAAAAATCAACGGTGACCGAAAAAAAAAAAAAGGTAGGCCATGCCGATTTCCGCAGCCAATGACAACGATATGGAACAGATTCCAGCTATGCGAGTAATGTATACTGAATTACAGACGGAAGTACAGTAGAATATATTAATTGTCGAGATCCAGAGCTCTATTCAACTGATCAATAAACATCATCATAACAATTTATACTAGAAATCTTAACACCATGACAGATTGATGTACCGTGAATGAGCGAGATGAATCAGTGGTTCAGCTTCAATAGATCGGACGAGATCTGAGAAAATTGTATTGGATGTAGAGAAATATTTTAGAGGATTTGTGAGTGCTATAAAGTAAGGTGTGTGTGTGTGTGTGTGTGTGTGTGTGTGTGTGTGTGTTGGGGGATTTAGAAGGAGGTGTTCTTTTTGTATGTATGTAAACAAAACGTGTGCTGGGAGTCTAAGAATAAAAGGCGCGCTACTTACGTTAGCACTTTGTTTGTATCTTGCTTCATTTTTCTCTTTTTTTCTTTGCCCAAAATTGAAGGAATGCAAATTTTGCTTTCGGCTACTCGCGTTCGGCACTAAAACTAGCTAGTGGAGACTATATTTGCAAAACAAACAAAAACAGTTAAACTCACACCTAAAATACCTATAAACTAAGACCTCTTCGACTCAACACCAACAACCCGCAATCGAACCACGACCAAGCACACGAACCAAATCCATGACAGAGCAATCCACGAACGAGACCTAAAGAGCTACAAAATAGGGCTCCAGATCTAAAATTTCCATCGAAGGGGTAGCTAGAATTGGCAAGAAGGCAGGCCATAGTCCATCGCTGAGCACTCCAAGCCTCCGAACGGGGATAGAAGAGACACAAAGGGCTTGGCTCGAACTACTGCACCAGAGAAGACCCCCCACCCGTTCCACTCGGAGGACGACCCATCGAACTACAGGGTTTGAGCCATTTTCGTACTTTTATTGAGATTCCTTCAAGCTAACATCACAGATGTTTTGAACTTATATTATTCTCATGCAAAAAAATAAATAAATAAATAAAAGGAATCTGTGAAGAATCCAGATTGAAGATGAGAAAAGTTAAGTCTGATTTCTTCGCTTTTTATACTATGTAGAAAGAAATCTTATTCATTGATTTTTTGTTGACTTATTCGATTGCTTGTCTGAAGACTTGGGACTATTTTACTCCCTAAGCCCAAATATGATGATTAATAGGCTCATAACTATTAATCACATGGACCAGGTAAATTGGCCCAATTATATCACTTTTCATAAAAATATGTTAACCCCACACATTATTAATAATTTATGTCATATTTTATATAGATTATCCTTATAGATTTTAACTTATAAATTAGTAATTATGATTGTTATTTATATTACTACCGATAATTAAATTTATTAATTTTATTTAACCATCCAAAATATAAAACATGATATATATGTAAGACGCATACTGGAGATCACGCATGTGATAAGGTTTGATTTCAAAAATGGTTATAATTCATTCTGATGTTAGAATTCCTTTCAAGTTCCAGCTTCAACAGTTTCTCATTATAGTTTCTTATGCCATGAGTATAAATAAGAGCCAGGGACAATCATTATCACACGTTGACTTATTTCTTAATAAACCAGTGTTTAGTCATGACCAGTTATATGTTGTTGTCTCTCGCATCACTAACAGAAATAGTTTGAAAATCCTAATTTGTGGCGATGACGATGTGCTAAATAATCAAACCGTAAATTTTGTATATATGAAATATTCAATAATATATAGATTTCATTTTCAATATATTTAGAAATTAGTAATTGCATGATCTTTCCTATATTATATAACTGGAATTTTAATACAAATTTGCATTTAAAAAGGGATGAAAATAATAAAGCCCCGTGCATCGCACGGGAACTGTACTATTATATTGAAAAAGAGAGGTCAATAAATCATTTGTGGAAACTTTTAAAAAACTGGTCAACAAATCATTTGACTTCCCATTTGTGAAAACCTATTTAAAAAATCCGTAAATTATTTATTTTCTCTTCATTTCCTTTTTGTTTTAAATTATTCAACAAAAAAACTCTCAAAATAATTCCCTAATTTTTGGATAAGGAATAAATTAACTCTGATTTCGTTACCAATTTCCTATATTAGTGGAAACCAATATAAAATTCTCATATTTAATCTGATTTCGTTACCAATTTAATCTCACATTTTATTTGCTTAATTCACGCATATAATCTCACATTTTAAATTATTTATTGGCTAAAGAGATGGAGCAAGAAATCCGCATCTGATTTTTTAATTGACTTGCACTATCCACGTTTTTTTAATTGACTTGCATCAGATAGAGTGCAGATTTATTTTAGTATATCCCAAATTATCGAGTATCTCTTTTAAAATTAATTGGTGGAACCGATCAAAATCAAATCTAAAGTTATTCTCGCATCTCTCCAAAAATCGGATCCCAACTATTTCTCGCCATCTCTCTGTTGGAACCCACGAGGATCTCGATATGCACAAATCACAGACAAACATTCAA